CCCCAAAACCCCAAAACCCCAAAACCCCATAGCGTCAACTAGGTATAAAAAAGGATGAAAATTGATAAATTCTAACATTTAATCAAGCAGTAAATGGATATAAATAAAATGCTAGGCTAAGGAACAGTCGTTGGAGGTACCGGAATACAACTGGGTATTAAGAAAAAGTCTTCATAATAAAAACTTAAACTATTTTTACTCAAAAAATCACCTAAGAGACATATAGACATAAGAATGAATATGAACATCACAAACAATTCAGATGAGTTTGCTTTTGATGATTCATCTCCTCTTAATATGATAGTAAGAAAGAAGCAAAGCAATTCAAAATTGCTTAATAGGACAGCCGACCAGCAAGAATTAAATGTTATGAATCTTGAAATTGAAAAGAAAAACTCAAAGCGCATGTCTAACCTAAATGATGATGACTAAGAATCTTTGGATACCCTGGCTAACAAGGCTCTCAGTTCTAAATTTTAACATAATTAGTAGCAGTCCATTAACAGTCCATTTCTATGAAGCAATAAGAAAAATAGAGGTAGGATGAGCAAATCTTAATAGAGTATGACAAATCAAAATACACTTACTCCTAGCAAATTGAATAACCTTGATGAAATTAAAGAATCACAAAATGAGAACCTAAATACAAGATATTTGAACACACTTCGAGAATCCATTCATATTTAAAATCAGTTAGCAGGGCAATAATAAATACCAAACACTTAGAGCACTAATAAAAGGAAAATCATCATTAGTAAAGCTGATACTTTTGTCAGTCAAAAGGTATTCAGCATCCCCTAGGAACTTGACAATGATAAAATGTAGTAGTCAACTAAGACTATGAATAACCCATCTAGTTTAGCAGGAGGCTCAAAAACAGCATCTAAGTTTGTTAAGTTTTCTACTCTCAATTCCTCGAAAATTCAGTCTCCTAAAACTATGTTTTACAAGCTTGGATTAAAATAGCCTTCTAACAATTTCCAAAAATAGAAAGACCCTGCATCTAAGGACGAAGATTTTCCTTTAAATCCTTATGAAAGCATCGATTAACTAATGAATTTAAAAGGCAGTAGAGATTTTAAAATAAGCAAATAAAGCCACATATAGGCAAAGATACTGATTCCAAAGAAAAAGATAATAGCCTTGAGAAAAGCTTCATACAAGCTGGGATAAACATTTAAGAAAAATTCTACTTCAAGTAGTCCATTAACAAAGAATGAATTAGCAGCAAGTATGGATTAATCAAATTCATAGTTATATTAGACAGAATCAAATCATATATTAAGAGGGGGTCGTTTAGAAGATATTTATTAGCATAATTAAAGTCTTTATTCTAACTCAAATAGATCATCACTAGAAGGATAAAAGTATGCCTCAAACAACAATAATATTTAAGTAAAAAATCAACTAAGTAATCAGTATCTATTATCATAGATTACAAATTAGGAGAATCGAATTTAAAAACTAAAAGGCAATTACGGTCAAACGCAATCAATTACTATAGATAGATCCTCAGGTTATAAGCAGCCTCTAAAGCAATAATTTTATGAAATGAATGTGACACCAAGTCCAAGTGATCTAAGGCAGTCTAAAAATTATCAAAAAAGGCTTTAAATTATGAGATAGTCAATGCTGAGCCAGATTGAACAAGGCAAATCAAACAGTATGGGGCTAAGTAATTAAAGTAATAGCTATGGAATATATTCTCAAGATTCAACAGCTATCTAAGTTGAAATCAGAGAAAAAGTCAACTAAAAGAGCCGCAAGCATTATAGTGTAAGTATTAGTGACCCTACTTTTCTGTCTCAGAGAAGACTAGAGCCTGTTGATAAAGAAAAGTAAGTTGAGTAACTTAGACTATTACTATAAACCTAGTAACGTCTAAGAATGAAAACTAACTAGTCGCAGAATACTATGGATAATTTTACAGATGATTGGGTTTCATACAGGCAGTAAAGCATTTAGACTACTCTTAAGAATTTACCTCCACTGGGAAAGAAAAATGGAAAACTCAAAAAGAAATAAAGAGACTACATTTCAATTCAACAGCAGGCAAATGGCTCTATCATTATCAATAAAAAAAGGAATGAAAATTTTTCCTTATTTTCATCAATTGAAAGTTAAAAGATGGGTTCTACTTCAATGTTCAAGCCTAAGGCTTCCGAGGAATATGGAAACAACGAAAGATACTATAAGTTTAATTAGCACAGTCAGAATTATAGTTATACTAAGCACAAGCTGAATGATTTATTTGAAGACATTATACCAAAGTTCAATAAGTTATAAAATACAGATGCTATTGAAAAGAAAACTCAAGACAAGATTAATTCTTTTTTCAAGAAATAATGATAATTAAGAAGATTTTGATTGATAATTTATATTAAGAGAATTAGTAGATTATTTGTGAATGGGGTTTTGGGGTTTTGGGG